AGCAGTGGACAAGCAGTGGCACGGGGAGTGCGGAGGCTGAGCTGCTGATGCGCGGGGCCCTGAAAGGACCTGAGTGAAAAGCAGGGCTTGGTTCCCAGCTAAGGTGCCCTATGCTTGGAGGCAGGAAGGAAGGAGGTGGAATTAAACGGCCCACTACACGCTCCCTGTATTTGAATTCTCCTGCTGGCCTGCTTCCCGGCACGCTCTGCTGGGATGTGGTGGGGACTGGACGGCCCAGCGTGTCCTGCGTGTGCTCCTGCCCCTTGCTTTGTGCTGGCCCAAAGTGAGCGCACAGAGCTCACACCGCTGCTCCCCTGGCAAGGCCCCTGACTCAAAGGCTCAGCTTCGTCTTTCTGAGGCGGCTTCATGTGCAGCAGAGAGGATTCCGGTCCTGTTCCCATCTGCTCTGCCACAGCCCAGGCCAGCGAGGCCTGCGAGTGCCCTCTGCTGCACTTCTCCTCCTCATCTTTCCATGGCAGCGCTCCCCTGGCTGTGTGGGAATAAACAAAACAACTCTTTTCATACACAAAACAACTCTTTGATGTTCTAAAGGTCGCTTTGTGCAGACTGTGCAGAAGCCTGGCTCTGTATTTCAGCAGCAAACAGAAAAGATCATGCCCCAGTGTAAAAATGTGTGATACTCTGCATCAGTCCCAGGGTGCAAATACAGCACGACAGGGAACGGCTGTCCTTTATCGACAGCCTGCACCCCGTAGCTTTTCATTGCCTCGTAAAACAAGTGGCTCCTCGTTGCAGGGGCTCAGACAGTGGTCCTTGTAGTCATGAAACTTTCATTTCTCGGAGCTGGCAGGTGACACAGGGTTGGTTATGGTACCTAACTGCCCCTAGCAGCGCTCAACTTTCCGTCTCTCCCTCCTTTTCAAAGGAAAAACATCGAGCGCCACAAAGCTCTGCTTATTTAAGTTATCAGCTCTTGCAGCCAAAAACGAATGGATGTAGGCAGGGAAAGGGGGGTTGTGTCAAGAAAGCTGTTCCAGGCTTCATACTTTCGGAGTTAAAAAGAGGAAAAATTAAAAAATAATAATCCTGCTTTTACTGGGATTTGATTTTCCCACGTGGAAAGCACCCAAGCTGCAGGCTGCGCCGGCAGCCCCGTAACCGCCAGGGCCGCAGGAATCTGCTCGCCTTCCCTGGAATTTGGACATTTTTTGTTGCACCCATTTCAGCTTGCTTTCCAGATCGTCACTGGAGTGCAGGGCACGCCCCCTCCGGGAGGCTATGTAAAGAGGAGGTGGTGTGCGACTTTCTGCAAAGAGAGAGGAGAAACTCGGAAGGAGAAGGAGGGAGGCAGTCGGCAGCCCGAATCCCCTCCCTTCCCTTTACTCGGGATGTCTGGCAGCTTGGGGACAGTGACCTGGACCCTGTTCCTCCTCCTCCTGGCACCTGGCTGGGTATGTATTGCACTGCAGCAGCTCCCGCTGCCGGCTGGGCATTGCAGCTTCTTGCTTTGATGCATGCGAATGCTTTAGGCTGAATAACTCTTTGCGGCTGCCACCTGCCTCCGAAGGTTTCTGCGAGAAGGCTGGCTGTTAGCAGAGCGATGCGAATGCACTGTGTAACTAAATCACGCTCGGAGCTGCGCCGTGCGCAATGCCGGGCATCTACAGATCTCAGAGCTCTTGGCAAACGCAAGTGGATTTTGTTTTGCTCCACTCCGGCGTGCTAGAAGCCAGCCCTGGTTTACAGGGGGGAAGAAGAGAACAGAGAGAGGTGAAGTCACTGAGTTTATGTCACTGCAAGGAATAAAAGCCTCGCATCCAGCTCCTTTCCATCACCGTCCTTCTCCAGCTGCCACTGAATCCACCCATGTGTTCCCAAAAAAAGGGATCCCGAGGGGGAAATTAGGCTGCAGGATTTGTGCCTGTTTAATACAAGTGCTTGACAGTGCAGCTGATTCCGCTTAGGGCTTTGGTGTGCTGTTACAGTGCCAACAGGAGCAGGAACATTGCTGCAGTCGTTAATGTATCTAAATTGCAGTGAGTGCCTTTTGGATTGGGGAAGAAACCGGGTTCTCAGAGCCACTGTGCCTTGCAGGGCTGCTTGTGCTGACAGATGCCATGAACAGGTTGGTAAGGCCCCATGGATCGCCCCGGGCAGCCCCCGGCGCGTGCCAGCCCCTTTCTGACCAGGAAGGGTGTCCCCTGCACCTCACACTCCCGTGACCTGGGGCTGGTTTCTGTGGGTTGGGATGCTCTGCTTGATGCGTGCACTATGGTCACACAAACGACAGCAGCAAATCCCACCACTGTGACACTTGGTTGTTGCTCTGAGGTGATGCCGTTTCCCCTGAGCCTGCCCACTGCCTTGGAAACGGGACTTTGGACTTGCTTTGAGCTCTGAGAGTGAAGTTTAGTGGATCGAGCGAGGGAACGAGAGCCGTTGCTCCTGAATCTGCCTCCCGTGTTGCTCAGAGAGTAGAAGCAGGATTGCTGGGAGTTATGTTCGGCTCTGCCAGGCTCAGCCCGGGCGAGTCTCCGTGCCTCCGCTCTGTGCCTGGCGATGGGTTCGTGGCTCTTGTCCCTGGCAGCAGGCTGCTGTACGGTGTGCCGCAGCAGCCTGGGGAGGGTGCCCTGAGAGCCTGGTGGGGGGAGAGCAGGTATCATCCGCGATAATTCAGTGTTTGGGGTATGTTAATAGCTGTGTTCTGACTGCTTTATCCACTGCCAGTCTTGGAGCGTGGAAAAGAATCAGCTCCGTGTTTGTGATGTTACTTCTACCTTGCAGCGTTAACCCCTGGCTCCCAAAGCACGTTGCAAACAGCTAGCTCAGCTCCGGAACGCGCCTTTCCCAGCCCTCTGACTGCAGTCACGAGCCCAAACGCATTTCACAAACCCCCTTTGGCTTGGCCCTCTTAGCTGGTTCCCTGGGCTCATGGGGATGTTGACTGATGAGGAGTGAGAAGTCCTGGTGATGCTGCAGCAGCGTGAGCCCGTGTCCACCTACTCGTGCCTTCCGGAGGGTGTAGGGGGAAGAGGTTTGATGTGAATGTGAAGCAGGAAGAACATTCTCACTTTTTCTTTCCCCCTGGGTAACTGGGTTCGGTGCTGGCGGTTGGGAGGAAGCTTGTTCTGGCTTGTCAGCTGCGCAGATGGGGCCTGGGAGTCAGTGGTGGAGAAGATGCAAGGAGCAGAGGCGAGGGAATCCTCTAGTCAGACGCTTTGCACTCCCGTGGTGGCTTGGCCGTCGCTCAGGGGTCCTGGGAGTGGATCACATGGTGTTTGTGATCGATACGAGGGCTGCCAGCACAGCCAGCAGCAGGGAGAGCTGATGGGCCAGGCTTTGGTACTCGCTTCAATCCATAGCCTTGATCTCTGATACTGGTTCTGTTCTGCTGCACTCAGAGCTCACAGAAACGCGCTGCTAACCTCAGCAGAAACCAGGTCAGGGCTATAGGGAGCTTGAAATTAGGACCATAGAATCATAGAAAGTTTTGGGTTGGAAGGGACCCCTAGAGGTCATCTAGTCGAATCCCCCCGCAGCGAGCAGGGACACCGCTAACTAGATCAGGTCTTGAATGTCCAACCTGGTCTTGAATGTTTCCAGGGATGGAGCCTCCACCACTTCTCTGGGCAACCCGTTCCAGTGTTTCATCACCCTCATTGTAAAGAATTTCTTCCTCATATCTAGCCTAAAGCTACCCTGTTTTAGTTTAAAACCATTACCCCTCAGAATCACTGATCCTGCTCAGTGAAGGTAAAAGTGTAGTTTTTGGGACAGACTCTTCTGCAGAGGGGAAGAAAATTAAATGTTCTCTAAGCGGAATTGCTCTGCACCCAGGTCAGTGGCATGTCATCATGTGGAAATGTGGGTCTGTGGTACGTGTGGGTCTGTAGCAAAGCCCTGAGTGCGAGTCCTTGCGGTTCTGTGGGACAGTTTGGGCAGTTTCCACACTGTATTGAAACAACTCCTAGAAGCAGTGCTTGAAAATAGTACAGGGTGGAGGGTGCTCCATGCAAATCCAAGATAATCCGTTATTTAACCTCTCTGAAATTGCTGTGAAAGCAAATTAAGTACTGGAGAACTCTAGGAAGTTGGTTCAACATTGACTTTCTACCAGCTGTTCCCAGCTCCAGCAGTTCCCCTCGCCGGGCCGTTACTCAGTGCTCGCTGTTGAGAGTGCACGAGCCAAAAAAGATTTCGGCTCATTCTCTCCTCTCCTGCGCCCGCGAGAGGAGCGGGAGTTATAAACAGCGCGAGCTGACTTTGCTGGGTAACAAACCGAGCGAACGGGAGACCCGGTACACCCCGGGGTGGTGGAAGGAGGCACGACCGA